TACACATCAAATTACCACGTATGATCGTAATAACTATTCCCAATTTTATACATTAATTTCCCAATAAGATTGTTTAGTATGTTATGAAATTTGCACGTAATTGAGAAATATTTATTATCATCATAATACTTGACTCTTAATACTTATATTACTAAGATATTTATAAAATTTCATACACATATGTGCAGTTTTGTAATTCTGTCATACGCTCTTTTATTTATTAATTGATGATAAGGTAACATAAAATGTAATTAAAATGCTTCTGAAGAAAGTAAGAATATTTGCGTGTATAGACGATGAATACATGATGGTATTACTGAAAAAAAATTATGTCACTTCGTGCAATTGTGAACGCCCCTAATGTTAAATACATTCCAATCGCACATGAGACTACCCAAAGAAAAAATCCCGCGTTTACACTTTTAAAACCTGTGAGTTTTAGCCTCAATTGCTCGGCTGTCTGGGATATTAAGCATTTCACGATCACTTTAATGATTTTATATATGCGTGATACGTTTTTCTAGACTTTTTCCCCATTATAATTGTTTATTGGTTTCAATTACGTTCTATTACAGAAATAAATAATTTATTATTATAACTCAAATTTGTTTAAAATTTTTACAATGTTCATACATCGATCGGCTGTTTATTGATGTAAATAAATAAAATATTTATTATAGTATTAGAAAACTAATTTATGAGCGACCTAACTGGAAATAGTATGATTTTTTTTTTATTTTTTATATCCACATCATGAAAAAAATTACCTTTCACGAAATACTAAGTACTACTGCAAAATTTTTTATAAACTTCAATAAATACTTACCTTTTTGTCAATTTTATTATATTCTGAGCCGCATATCTTTTGAATTGCAATGTATTAAAAAACTTTGATCAAAAATAATCTGTACCACTAGAAAATAGTTGATGGCTAAAATGTATCGATGCAATGATCGCGAAGGACGTGTGTACCAGGAGACAGTTTCGAGTGATTTTTCAAAATATTCTATATAAATAAAGATTGTTATATGATATAGCTATAAGCAGTTTATATATACACTAAAATTCCAACAATCTTTCATTATTACTACCGGATTTGTTTCAAAAAAACTACACGCAAAGGTGAGTTGCTTGAAAAGTTTTGGCAAGCTTTCTAAAAGTTTAAATGAAAATTTTAAAAAAGTATTAAACAAAACCTTTTTTGTAATCTCTCTTCTTGGAAAGCATCCTGAAAGTACCTCGTCAGTTTCCACGCAGCTTCCTTTAAGCTGTTATTGATGCTGATAGAATAGTTTCATGGAAGCATCCCTGGAAGGATCACAAAAGCTTCCTGGATGTTTTGATGAAATCTTCAAAAAAGTACTTAAGGAACCATTTTTGAAATCTCTCAGAAAACTTTCATAAAGATTCCATAAAAACTTCTTAGAAAGCATTTTGAAAGTTCCTCGAAAGTTTCCACGCAGCTTCCTTCAAGCTTTTATGAATGCTTCTAGAATAGTTTCATGGAAGTTTCCCTGGAAGGATAACGAAAGCTTTCTGAATGTTTCCATGAAACCTTCAAAAAAATTGTTCATGAAATCTTTCTTGCAAGTTTTCCGGAAACTTTCGAAAAGACTCCATGAAAGCTTTTTTCATATGCTTCCAGAAAGTAAAAAAAAAAACATTCTGGAAACTTTCTGGAATCTTTCATGGAAAGCTTTCTTGAAAGGTTTCACGGGAAGCTTTCATGCTATGTGGGTGGAGTTCGTCGCAGGTCTGCAACAGTAGCGCCGCCAAGCCGTCGTCGTAGATTGTCAATAATAATGTAATAATGTCAATGCATTGTCCGCGATGATCTTGACTATATTGGGCTGCAGTCGACTTTGGAGGAAAAATTAAAAAAAGTTTCTCGATATTACGAAGACACCGGCGCGTACACAAATTCGATCGCGCGACGATTTACATACAAACGAAATCCGCGTGCACCCAGCTGCCTTTTCACGAAGAGAGATCAGCGTTGCTGTTCCGGACGTGAAGGACACCGACGACGACGACGACGACGATGTCGACAGCTCTCGAGATCGAGCTCTTATTTCTCGGTGTACATAGTTCCAAGCCTTCGGGGCTTCGGTTTTATAATATATAATACTATACGCGTTGTGCGACACGTACACACAGAAGAGGAGCTATGCAAATGAAGCGGTTGAATCTCCATTTCACGCGTTCACGACTCGGCTGCACGTGTAAATACGTGGGGAAAATCTTATTAAAGAAAAGGTGAAAAGCTGCCACGTACACGCATTCGTGTAAATGCGCCGAGCGCCGATCGTTTTAGCATTCGTATAATTCAATTTGCTGAGCGGAACTGGTGAACCATACTTCGCACACGAAGATCCATTATACTCCTTTATTTATTATATCGTGAGCTCGAATCGATGTCGCGTGTCCTAAAAAAAATGTAAACCATTCAGGCCCTGTCCCTGTGCAAGGTTGTACGAGATGAAAATGCTCCGGGGTTTCCCAGAGCAAATAGTATATATGGAAAACTATGCAACGGTATATAATAGCGCACTCGATGGTCGTTAATTTTGCCGAGCCACAGTAATAACCATTAAAGTCGCTACATCGGGGTGACCCCGTATCACCAATAAATGCGGGAAACTTTGGCGGATTCTCGATGGATGAGCGCGTGCATTTATATAATATACGCCAAGAAGAAGTATCTCGTCGAGTCATGCACAGCGAGTACAAAAAGATGCGTATACACAGCGAAGAGTCGAGATGCCGATGACGATGGGATAACGTGCAATAAACGCATCCATTTGGGAGTACAGCTTCAAGTCTGTACTGTGTTGGGAACAAGGGACTTTGGCCTGTATCGCGCAGTAGCCATATGGCTGACGAATGATAAAAAGTTGAATAAGCAGCGACAAGCGCGCGTCAGTTTCGGCGAACCGCGAGCCGCGCGCGCGATATCCGCGTCCGTGTATAGTGCCCTATTGGTGTGTTGCTCCTGCTACCGCCGCCGTTGCTGCTACAGCCGGTCGATAAATTCGAAAAGGCAAATTTATGCGCTCGCAGATATGTATGTATGTAGTTTCTATACACACACACAACCAAATGCGAGAGAGAGAGAGAGAGAGAGAGAGGGGCGAAGTAAAGGGTGAAACGGCTGTCGCAAAGTTTGCCACTGCATATAACACGTGCGAACACCCCGCGCGTGAATGCGGATATCTGCATGTACACGCGTGGTACATGCATGAATATATACGGAGATGTGTATTCGTTGAAATTCGGTAAATCGAATTCTCTCTCTCTCTCTCTCTCTCTCTCTCTCTCTCTCTCTCTCTCTCTCTCTCTCTCTCTCTATGCAAAGCTCGAGTTCGAACTAGGCTGAGAAAAATTTTTGACACGCGTGCTGCTGCTGCGACCGCCTCGTTCGCGGCCGCCTTTGTATATAACAGCCAATCGTATCTCAAAGGGTGGTATACGCAACCACGATTTATACCCAATTTTTGAGTATAGTATAGAGAATTCGGCCTGATCGATCGATTGATCGTCGCGCCTTTCACGAAAGAAAAAATAAATAAATAAATCGAACACATGCGCGATCGCTGCAAGACATTATCATTCCATATAGGGTGGCAAGCGCGTCGTAAGCAAGCTCGCAAGTCCTCCTATAAGCCAATGAATCGGCATTCGACGTATCCAGACGATAAATTTCAATTAGAGGTGCTCACTCGAGCGTGCAAAGCGACTGCAGATATCCGAGCACATGCATACGTACATATAATATAGCTATATATAGTGCACGACGGTTAAGTTGCAGGCCAGGCAGCATCAGTCGAGCAAGCGCCGCGTGTAAATTAATTATATGGCGCGTACGGCTCAAGGAGGAGAAGCCGAATGCTCCTCGCGAGCGAGCGACGGACTAACTGTGCGCGTTAGTAGTTTTAATAATTTACAGAAAGAGATTACCTTGCGGGGCTCGACTCGAGTTTCGGGCCCGGAAGGCGACTAAATAAATTCCCCTCGAGCTTATAAACGCGGCACGTAGTAATAGTAGCAGTAGGTGTGTAGTACTAGCAGGCTATTTAAGAGCTGCAGTGTCCCTCGCGCTTGATGCCGTTAGAGACGCTTGTATATATATAGGTGGTGTTGACACCTTTTACTGCGTACACGCGACGCGGCGTCCCTCGGAAAATCTCATTAGCTCTCACGGCCTAATTCACTTTCGGACACTCGCGCGCGCCGGCTTGGCTATGTAGAGTTAACAAGCAAACTTCATTGCGGCTTTTCGTGGATCGATCTCAATATCACTCATGAAGAGATGTGCCGATTTTCGATGATCGATGTATGCTTAAGACAAATCAATCCAAAAACTGCTGTCTTTTATTATCAAATAATCAAAATGAAAAACGAAAAGCGAAAATCAGGTCCTACTGTGTATTAAGCCTCGAGTTGTACACTGCCAAGTAATCTATACTATTTGTGGAACAAAATGAAAGGTTGTTTTTTTAGTGCGCTCGCGTGATCCAAAAAGTAATCTACAATATTAACATGACCTGCTGACATTATGTTCGCGTAAAATCGAATATTAACGAGTCAGCAGATTTCCATGTAAATGTACTTTCACGTGATTTGAATGAAATTCATAAAATTTACATTAGATTTAATGTACAATTCATGTTTAACTTTTCACAAACAACTCCTTAAATTTAATGTCAATATTTTCAACATCAATTACCGTTACAACATTTTGAAACCCAGCTTATGAATTAATTTTGGGCGCTTTGAGTTATACAATTATTTTGACTTTGCCACATGCAGGTTTACACATCTAAATTACTCGCCATCTACGGGTAGATACTTGAAACCGTATTATCATAATTTAACGTACTTGGAAATTGATCTCAATTTTTTGAAACTATTTAATTTTCTACTTCAAGTCATATAATATGCACTTAATATTCGTAAAATAATCGTAACAGAAAAATTTCGTGTGTTTGTGTTCAACGCAGGTAACGCTGCACATCGCCTACGTGCACGCGTTCGTCAATCCGACCCTCTTCCTCACGCTGCACCGCGGCCTGCGGCAGGGCATGACCGACGTCTGTTGCGGCTGCTGCGAGAGCTTCGCCCGCTGGATCCTCGGCGCCACCGCCCCCGGCAGCCCCGTCATGTCCATCAGCGGCGGCGGTCTCCATCATCAGATCCAACAGCAGCAGCAGCAGCAGCAGCCGCCGCGCTACGACGTGCAGGCGTCGCGCCACACGCAGACGCCCAAGCTGCCCTACGTCACGGCTCAGGCGGCGGCCAGCTGCGACCTCAGCGACGTGGCCCTGCTCAAGCCGCCGCTGCCGCCGCAGCCCAAGCATCACATGCTCGTGAGTCGCTTCGCATATAGATGTAACACGCAAAATCCAATGTGCTCTCGGTCATGTGTAGCTCGTTATATTATATCTATCTGCTCGTTCCTTCCACCGAAGACTACCCTCCGAATTTCAGCTTCCACGTATATTCATCATCTTAATTGGCATCGATGTGCAAGCACAGATATGTATACAAATGCGTTGCCACATGATTGCACCGACAACCCTTTCCTTTTCTGTACTTCTTACCTCTCTGTTACGCTTCAAATGTCTCTATTTACTTTAATTTTTTCAAGTGTTGTAACATTGAATTTTTCTCTTTTATCTCTGAAAATTCTCAAAATGTCTAAATTCAACGAAACGCGTTCGAGTTTCTCTCGTGCACTTTATCAATAATGCTCGTGCGGTTGAAAGAGATTTAATCTGCTCCCAGCTCATCCAGCCTGCCGCGACTCGACAACAAATTTTTATTTACACTTGCATTGACCGTGTCTACTTCACAACAGATTTCCCAGATAACAAGCTTTACAATGTATAATACAATATTTGTGTAGCTCGCATGCAATCAAAAGTGTCCTATGTGTGAGTGTGTGTATGTACCGGCGTGATTTTCCAATAACTACCTTGTATAGTTACAAATAGGATATATAGAGAGAAGCTGATTTGCCGTAAGACGAAATTTATCACGGTTTTACTCAGCTAAGTATATAATGCCAGACACGTAGAAAGAACCCCGAAAACGCTGACACGGCAAGAAGAAATCTATTATTTTTTTTCGCAAGGCAAACAGATATATCTTTGATTTTTTGAAAAATTTTTTTCAATTCTTTCTCGAAACCTAATATCTCCATCAATTATTATCGTTTTTCTTCTGTAAATATCTATCAATGTTTTTTATTCCTTCTAGCTTATTTAAAACTATGGAAAGTTGAGAATTTTTGAGCGAAGATGTCACTTTTGTAACTGGCGACAGCGGAAAATAGGTACTTTCATAAATTATTTTAACGATTGTTCCATATATAAATACTATCATTGCAAGCCAGTATCTAGATAAATGTTCGATATATTTTCGATTAAATAAATTAAACATCACAATTAACAATTCGTATGTAAATTTTTCAACTCAAATAATCCAGTGTGTGTGCATCTCTGTTATGATTTTTATGTGATCGCACTCCCATTTCTTATGCATTGCATGCCTCTCACTTGTGTATATAATAACAAATACTTATTAATGTGATAATATTACGTATAAATAAACAAAAGAAGTGTAAATGACTTTTTGGATTACATATATCTAGATACGACTTTCTTTTTTATAAACTTCCGAGCTTAAATTTAAAATAAATGAGTGTTGAATCGAATTTGATCGGCCTCGTGCAATAAAAACGTGTCTCAATTTATTCATGTAATTTCCCTGATGGAAATGATCATCATTAATAATGGCCTAATGACCCAAAAATAATAATTTAAAATGTTGAAAATATATAACCATTCATTGGTTTATTTAAAAAAAAATTTCTGTTACAATTAGTTAACAAATATTAAGCGCATATTATATGACTTGAAATAGAAAATTACGATAATACAGGTTCAAGTCCTACCTCTAGATGGCGAGTAATTTATATGCGTATATCTGCATGTGTCAAAGTCAAAATAATTGTATAACCCATTAACGCGCAAACGTGCAATTTTGTGCATGAATTTTCCGTTGTAAAAAAATTATAGATAAAGTTAAAATATTTTCTTGAAAATCTATATCCAGGGGTTTTTGGGTATGCTCTTTCAGTATACGGTGTTATTTTTGCGATAAATAAACATTATCATCGTTTATTTTGCCATTAAAAACCAAAAACGTGATTTTTTGACTCAAAATTTTTTTTCAAAGTCGATTTTCTACCTTGCCTTGCCTTCGGAGGGTTCCCATAACACCAGAAATCGTGCACTTTTTCTCTGAACCTTCGAAAAATGCGCTGCCGCGATTTTTATCTTGCCCCTATATTTCTAAAATGGCGAATTTATACTGAGCAGCGGTATAAAAATTCACTCATTTTTTACTCAGAACCTATTTTACATGCGCTAAATATGAACTCAAAAGTACAATTTGGAGTGTAAAAACTTATTTGAAATCGTTTAGAGAATACGTGTGATTTTTTTCAGAATTTTTCAGACCATTTTGAAATTTTTGCCAAATACGACCATTTCCCGGCCTGTCGAAAAAATCCAAAATGTTCCAAAAAAATCTGAAAAATTCTGAAAAAAATTATTAAAAAATTCTAAAAAAAATTCACATGTATTCTTTGAACAAATTTGAACACTTTTCATTGTATGACTTTCTTTTATAAAGTCAATAATTTACAAATAAAAAATAAGGCAATTTTCATATCGCTGCTCGGTATAAATTAGCCATTTTAGAAATATAGGGGCAAGATAAAAATCGCGGCAGCGCATTTTTTGAAGGTTCAGAGAAAAAGTGCACGATTTCTGGTGTTATGGAAACCCTCCGAAGGCAAGGCAAAGTAGAAAATCGACTTTGAAAAAAAATTTTGAGTCAAAAAATCACGTTTTTGGTTTTTAATGGCAAAATAAACGATGATAATGTTTATTTATCGCAAAAATAACACCGTATACTGAAAGAGCATACTCAAAAACCCCTGGGTATGGATTTTCAAGAAAATATTTTTACTTTATCTATAATTTTTTTACAACGGAAAATTCATGCACAAAATTGCACTTTTGCGCGTTAATGGGATAAGTCAAAGCGCCCAAAATTGATTCACATAAAGTATTTTTTCTTGGCTTTTTCATCGACTAAGAGCTAACCGTAAACTGTTGATCATTTTTACCAAGGTTAGAATAAATTATAAGAAAGCAGTGTTCGTTTAACTATAAGAAAGCAAATTTCGTGAATTAAACTAGATTCAAATCCTTACGATTCTATTAATAAGGCATTATTTATTATTTCGATATAGTATAAATTAGGTAACGCGACATCAAAAATAAAATTCGTTTCGTTCTCTTGCGAAAATCGAATCGATAATCGTTTCTCCTTGCCTTACCCGGCTTACTTTCCACTTGTTTTTTTGTGCGCAGGCTGATCGCTCCGATCTCTGGGGCATCTCGTCGTCGCGGCCTAAGAGCACCACCAGCCTGTACGAGGACGAGCTCGCGCGACGCCCGAGTCTGTTACTACCGCCGCCGCCGGAACTGCACGACCTGCACTCGACAATCAGCCCGACTAGCAGCGATTTACCCAGCGAGTAAGCAAATTTTTCTGCGGCTTTTACTGCAAACGATCGCAACACGTCTATGTTATATATCCCCAAGCGCCATTGGAATCACGCCCCCGCTCGGTGTTGGATCATGCAGCGGCAGATGTGGAGCGCGCATTTTTTTATAATCATCACTTAGTTCTAATTAATATATCTCTACTTTTTTCGAGGTAGACGTGCACCCAGCTCCACATTTTCTATATAATTATAAATGATCGACCGACGCTTGTCGCATGCAAATGATGATGAATCATCCATAAATTATCGAATACAATAGAAAATGATCGTCTCAGCGGCTCGTGAGTCGAGAAAAAAAAAGCTTCTTTTATTTTACATTTGATAGGTTTGTTCGTGTGAAATAAATCACTCTTTTTCATTCGATGCAAAAAAAAAATAAATAAATAAATAAATAGATGTTGATTAAAAATATGCCACGTAATATGAATTCTTTCGATGGAATCATTCGTAAGAGATACTTTTTGGTAAATAGAAAAATTACAAAAAGTATTTCTTTCTACAGTATCTACTATAAAAAGATAAATGTTATATACGTATACTTCGTTCCGGATATGCTGTACATATCAATTCAGAAAATGATGAATATTTAAACATTATTATTAATTTATTTAGATCATGATAACGGATATTAATTATGCAAATAGTCGACTCAAAATTTAATTGTGTCCGTAAGCAACTGTAAATAATATAAGTTTCAGTCGAATTGATTTATTATTCATTATCTCTTGTTTGTGAAATTTCGACGAATATATTCAACCAGACTGAAGTTTTTTATACTTGTGGAACGAATTAATTGATCTACAAATAATTTTTAAGGGTTTTCGATTTTACAATTATCCTATAAGCTAACAGTCGAATTAACGAAGTAAATAACAACGATCAACTATCAGAAAATCTCAATGAATCTACTTTACGAACGAACCGTTCGTTTGATATATAATTAATTCGAAAATTATATTTTCAATTATTAAAGCAACGAAATACAATGAGTAATGAGTTTATAATTGTTAGTATTGTGAATTATCTACTGATATTACATCAAAATGCTCTTTGTACATATAACCGATGAGCTTATCAACGACGACGAATTGTATGCTAAGTTTTTTAAACAAAAATTTCCACAAAATTTTACTTCATTGATCACAATATCGATAAAAATTTCATGAACTCATATTATTGTCGGGATTGATTGTTAACATTTATTCAAAACGATAATCCGAACTTTGTTAAGTTTTAAAATTATTAAAACAAATATTGTAAAGATGATTTTTAATTATTCAAATATATATTTGGTGTTTTTAGGGAATGCATTGCGATCTATAGAAGTGCCACTGAAATGATATGATAATGCGAAAGATAATTATCATATGTATCCTTCTTGACATTTCTCGACAAAGATTGTTAGTAATTTTAATCTGATGGAGGTTGTAAATTGTAAAATATTTGATTGTTTGAAATGTTAATAAATTATATCTCGTCTAAGATATCTGGAAAGTTTATAAAATATAACGAATACATCTATCGCGATTATGAGAAATAGTGATAACATGAATAAATAATATACATTATTAAAGTGGAAAAAACTAAATAAATGCCTAATAAAATCAGATTCTAAATTAACGATAGAGCGTAAAAAAGTATCACGCATAACCGCATCCGGCCACGATGTATGTAATTAATGGGTATTGCATTAAAATATTCGTCGCTCTCAACCTCAATTTTCGAATATAACACGGCGATAAGTATAGAAATTATCAACAAATTGTATGTACAACATCTACTCGGTGAATGATGAAAAATGATTAAGTGCGCTAATAGTCATTCTAAATTAGTCCGCCCATCGCTCCAAATATGTTTAAATACTTTGTCAATTAGAATATCAAAGTTTTTATCATCAATGTGCCAACAAGGATAATTGAAAGTTTTTTAATGATAAATTTGAGTGATGTGTAAGTTGCGTAAACGTTGGAAAATAGTAGGAAAAACATTTCGCATCTTCCAAGCTTTTCTATAATCGTGTGCTGATTTTTTGAATTCGACGAATAAATTAAGAATAATAACAATCAACAATGAGTGATCAACCATATTCTATCAGTTCCCGATTCGATTGGAAAAATTTAGCACCTTATTAAATCAAAATATAAAACTCTAACTTGAAAATCAATTCACTTTTTTAACTTGTATAATTGATTTTTCCTTTATAAATAATTATTGATTAAGAGCTTGCCGGCACCCAAAAATTGGTTTTCATCGCTTTTTTAAAAAATTCAATAGCCTCAATCAATTATCACAGATCTCTTGAAACTCAAAGATAAAAAAATATCGTTCTCGAAAAAGTTATAAAAAAAAAAAACAATTTAAGGTGCCCAAGAGCTTTTTTATGAAAATTACATAAAATATTTTATAAACAATCATACTCAACAAATGCTCGTGACTGATTTTCAAAATTTTTACCAAAGTTCCTCTAGGTAGATACTAAAAAATTTTTTATCATTGTTTAGAAGGTAAACATTTCATTGAAATTAGATTGTAGTATATGAAAACGTAAAGATGTTTATAAATCGTGCACACTCACAGCAGATCATTGCATCAATCTCCTATAAATCATTGCAGTCACGAAAAAATGTAACGTATGGATATGAGAATGAGAGAAAATAAGTGGCCAATTCAAAGGTGAATAAAAAAGAAAATAATAAATACTACACAAACAAATTGTGCCTAAAAGTATTAAAAACTAAACCAATTGTAAAAGTATTAAAAGCTTAAAGTGTTTTCCATTATATTTTTTGTCTTCATATGTAACAATATTCGAGTAGAAAACTTGTACCTATAGATCTAAAAGTAATATTGATTATTACTCAAGTACGATCATAACGTGAAGGCGAATTCACGACTTCAGAAATTCATGTAACCATTATACTTAAACATGTATTATAATAAACTGTATATATATTATCAAAAATCTAACAACTAATTTAATAACAAATAATTATTTCATCAATTAATTAGAATTTTCATAGCACTTGTGCATAATAATATGCACGATGGCATTTTTTGTCATATCTTAGAAAGTGAGCTTTTTCTTAAGAAATCCTTCAGTGAATTCTTTTTTGTAATTCGGCTCATCAGCCGAATTCGATCGACAGCCCCAGGAAATAAACTTTCAATTCAAGTTTCATGGATAATTTCGGCTACTGTACGCATTACAAACTACTAAATTTTAAACACTCGAGAATTTAGAAAATTCATTTAATAGCATAAAAATGTCATAATTAATTAAATAATTTAGAATCATTATTTTAATAAAAATCTCTGGGTTTAATAAAAATATTTGTTTTTACAATGTATCGAGTTTTTACTATATTACAACAACAATCTATGTACAACTACCTATGATTTAGGACACACCCATATTGTTTACAACATTATACGAACTTCATATACTTTTTAAGCAATATCCTAAATGCCTAGGAAAAAACAGTATTGTCTAAACCGTTTCATGCATTTCTAAGAATACAGAAACGTAAGTAATCATTTTTCATAATAAATTTGTCGTGTAGAAAAAAAAACAAATTTGATTAATAACTAGTTCTGGTTTGTTATGAGCTTAGAATTCAAATTTTTTTGGCTCGAAATTAGTGATTTTCTTAAGCTTTGAATTGTCTTCCTCAATCTAAAAAGGAATGAATTGATCCTCATCGATCTGAATAGAGACGATTTCGTCCTCTGCCAATTGAGTTTCTTGATTACTATCTTCGTTTTGTCTCAAAGTATTAATGAAATTGCAAAGCTCATCTTCGTTATTAATATTAACTATTGACTCTTTCGGTAAAGTGGTACTCAATAAGCCGACCCTTGGTTCAAATCCGAACATAGCCTTGTAAGGAGATTGCCTTATATCAGAATGGTACATTCTATTTTTCATGAACTGCACAAAAGGCAGTGCGTCAACCCATGTACTTGTTTTGTTATCTGCTAACCAGGTGACAATCATATTTACTATGTCTTGATTAGATATTCCGACTGAAGTCTGGGACTGGCTAAGGCGAGGTTTCCCATGAACTAAAACCAATTCAGGCCACAATTTTTTTAATTCTCTGATCACAGCATGAACAAAATCTCTGCCATGATCAGAATGTAGCAAGCACGGGGCACCAAATGTTGAAAAAATCCTTACTAGACAATGTGCAATCTAAATTTACAAAAATGTATAGATTATTAATATTTTTTTATATGAATAGTATTAGTAGTGGCGTAGCAATAATATCATGTACCTCTTCTGCATTTTTTGTTTTCAAGGGGTTCAAGACAGTAAATTTAGTTAAAAGGTCTTGATAAACCAAAATCCATTTATAATTGTCGGTTCTATGTGATTGAAAGTCGATCAAATCGACTTGGCACCTGGCATATATTCTGTCATGCAATATAGGTTTAGATTCCAATCTCCGCTTCTTTTTTGTTTTTGTTTGGTTACAAGTTTGACACATACCAAGGAATAAGGTTATCAATTCGCGCGTCACGTTGGCGTAATTTCTTGATGTTTCCTTGAGTAGACGGTCTCGTGCGGCGTGCCCAGTCGCAATATGCGCATTTTCAATTATATCGTAGATATCTTCCAAGGGCGCGTAATATTTTAATCCTGCGTTAGCCTTGCGCTTGGCGATAAGTTTTTTGATACCATCCACTTCTATAACGTCGAATCTACTTAGACGCCTATATTGCTGAGGAGTCTTCTTTGATGATAATTTTGCCCTTAGGATATCTTCAATTATTTCATCATATTGACTTTTATCAATCACCTTATAATGGCCACCTTTACTTGCTTCTTTAAAAAACTCCTCTCTTAGGTTCACGGAAGTTGATTGAATATTTTCAGACATTTTAGCTAGTAACGGTTATGAGAAATTAACAAAAGTATACACGAACTGTGCTGAATGTACGAAGTGAAAGAAAACAAACCTTGACACATGTGAGACTAACCTGCTAACTAGCATCGTCTATAGTTATCATTATTATGTATAAAAATTCAAATTTTCATAGTATTACGCTTAAATTAAAGGCTTCACATTATTTTTTGATTTCTATAAAATGCCTAAAATGATGTGGGCTGTTTTTACCAAGGCATTTTGAGTATAATCAATTCCGCCTCAATTCACGTTTCGCCGCGGTAACCCTACATGTGAAAATGTAAATGTCAGCCTAGCAGAACAGTATTAGTTTTAAACTCGGAGGCCAATACGTATCTCAATCCTATTTTATAACGTAGGACTTGAGTACGATTTTGCTTGTGAGTTCGAAACGATACCTTTTTGCGCTGAGACGATGAAAAATCTTAATGGTTTGATAAATATTACCTATTTTAAGAAAAAATTAAAAAAAAAAGATTTCAATGCATAAAAATTGTAATAACGAACTGCACGTACTAATTACATGGTTACTATAATTCTCCCATTACTTCGTAAAATTGAACAATTAATTATGTAAAGTGTAAGTAAGTAGCACAGGTTTTGTCATTAAAAATAATAAAATTTAATTTTTTTTGGTCGATACAATGGCGTAACATCTTGGCGATAAAGACCTATTCATTGTCGGTAAAAGATAACTATCAACACTATTTTCCTTAAGATAAAATAATCTATCAACGAGTACCAAAGATTCTGCAGCATTTTGCAGTAAATACTGTAAACCTGTGTACAACTCAACGTCCTTTTGACTGCTGCTTTTTTCATTCCACAGCCTTTTAATACTTTCCTCAATTTCTTCAGTCCAAGGTATCACTTTATCGCTCTCTGATTCATGCAGAGAGTACCGATTCATTGAATCCTTCAAGTAACTTTCGAAATCGCCGCACTGTGTTTTCCTGGTAGCTTTGCAAACATGTTTTTTCAGTCGAAAACCATCTATAAAAAGTATGTCAAAATATTTAGAAATAAAAAAAACCACTAATTTTATTTCAAAAAATAAGTTCTTACTCTCAGAAGTATACAGTTCCAGGACGGCTCGGGCAAGAACGTGAAAAGCGTGTTCGTCGTGAGCCTGCTCAGACATATTTTCCCAGCGATCTGGCGTTTCTTGACAAGCCAATCTCATAAAAGTTCGGCCAAATAATTTTCCAACGTCTGCATGACTCTTTTTTAAGGCATTTTTTAAAATATTTGATAAAGGGAAGCCCTTGAAGCAGTTTTCGCTACTTCCAGTTTCATAAGCAGTTTCCTGCTCGAGCTTATGATAGCAACAAGATACTAGAATAAACATGTGAGCCTGCTTCATATTCAAGTATAAGTTTGACATGTTTACGCTGAGGTCACCACACGCGTGTAATCCTATCAAACACACTTTTTCATCACTTGATTCACTGAACTCAGTCTTTAAAATATTTTCAATTTCATCTAAAGAGTCTTTTGTGACATTACAACACACATATTTCACTAAACCTTTCGACTCAGGAAAATACTGATTCTGTCGATTCCGAGCTATGTCTATGTTTTTCTGTCTTGACTCCAAAGCCAAAACTTTGTATCCATAAAGATAATGCAATAGTTGACCGATGTAGCCCTAATAATAGAAAAAAATTGTTACACACAAAAATAAATTATGAATAAAATAATTAGTGCATTCAACTTACTAAACCAGCACCAAGATCAATAATTAATGATATATTTGAAGATCGACAGTGATCGTTAATGACTTTGGATAGATTGTAAATTTCATGTTTTTTCTTGTCGCTCATGAACTTCGCAAATACTTTGGGTAACTGTTGAGGTTCAGCAGATATGTCTTGAATAGGTAATTTATCAAACTTTTTACATTTTACAATAAAGTTAATAAGTGTTTCGGGCAATACCACCTGGAAAAGATAAATTCAAATTATCGATTTTTTCATGAAATTACTTAAAAAATGAACTAGCATAGGAGCACCCTTACTTCGATCTGTTTTTTGGCAACTAAATTATTTAACTTATCAATTTCAATATTTCTGAGCGAATCCAACCAATCAGGTGGAAATTCATCCAGAGCACCCGGGTATAAAACTTTGGTAGTTGGTAATGTGTAGAGCCATTGGAACTTCTCGAAGAACTCTATAGCTTTTTTCAAATAATCTGGATCATTCAGCGTGCTGTCCACCATCCTGTAATAAAGTTCAACTTTCGATGAGAAATTGAAAATTCTACTTCGGATTATGAATGCTGCAAAAATGGCGTAAAAATTGCATAGTTAGTTAAATAAAACAGAATCATTTTTTAAATAAAAATGTCTTTATTTAATAAAAATATTTTTGTCTTTACATTATGTCAAATTTTTGTTTTTTTTTTATTAAATTAAAACAACAGTCTATGTACAATTGAAAAACTAGTAACAACGTGATTTAATGCGATTAAATAACAAAACGTTATAAATTTTTAAATAGCTTGAGCTTGATCTTGCTCGTCTTGCTCGTGAACTACCCAATTCTCGGACTGTCTGGTCAGCAAATCTGAGTTTTGCGGTCCAATTAAAGCTCGACCAACTTGAGCGTTTGCGCCTGATTTCAAATATTTTCCAGCTACCTCCATGAGCTGCTCCTTCGTTACGGACTTTATGAGCTCTCTGTGCTTTTGAATATCGTCGTAGCTAACTCCGTGGGTGAATTTCGTCATTCCTCGAGATCCCGGAGCCACGGGCCCATCGATCGCTTGGAAAAGTCCGAGCTTGGCTTCGACCATCTCGGCATCGGAGATATTGTATTTCATCAGAAAGTCGTAGGTTTCGTCGAAAATGTCGAATGTTCGCGTTGAATTAGGATCTCTGTACGAGTAGTACATGAAGCATCCATCAGCTGCCAATTTTGCTCCTCCACCATAGGCGCCTCCCTTTTCTCTGATTTCAGGGTGCAGGTAAATCGAGGAAATTAATTTTGAAAGTACGCGCAGTGGTGCGTGTTCGGGATGACTGTATGGAACGGTCAGTACAATTTTTGATGCATAATTTACAGAGCAAGGCAGAACGTGATGAATGGCTGTATTGTTAGAATTAAGTGGACCATTCGATGTAATGGTAGGTTCTTTACTTATTTGAGAACCCTTCAAAGCACTGTAGAACTGTTCCATTCCTTTCAGAATATTTTCTTTTGATTCCTCGGTTAAATTAATGGCTGATCTCAATTGAGACTTTTGTAATACTTGACTAGCAATTTCTTGAATTTGACTAAGAACTGGAGATAAATCTTTCATCTGAGCAATATATTTCATTCTATTAACATATTCTAGACCAGATAAACTTTCTTTCAACATAGCTACAGGCGATACTAAACTAGCAGCTGAACTCATGGCGTACAAATGACCAGATTGAGTTATTCCATTGGTCAAATCAGCTGCAATCATTTTGACTAAGGTTTCGAATCTTGGAAGATCTGTTAATTCGACTCTGTTGAATAACTCTTCCCACAGTTTCCACATTTCATTTGAATTTTGCTCCAAACAGTAGGATGAAATGATTATACCTTGTTCGTATTTATTTAGATCATCTTTCTTTTCAACAACATGATTGGAAAAATGTAGACCACCAGTTTTCAAATTGATGAGTCTATCCAAACTTCTGTAATCATGATTTTTAGTTCCCATTCTAACAACTACATTATTGAAAATAGGTAATAAAGACTTCAATTCATTTGACAAATTGTGAGTGTTCAATATTCCACGATAATAGCATACACCATTTGTTGGTTGTACAGCCAATTGCACAGGTACTTCAGATAGTTCCACATCAATTAAATTGTATCTATCAACATCTTTTTTTAGATCTTTAATTGATAGACTTGGTAAACTGCCATCGTCCTCAACTTTTTCCTGCTCTTTCAATAATAATTGACCCTTGGTATAAACTTCATCTTTTTGCCGAGGAGTTAAACTTTGAAGTTTTGATTCCAATAATTTTTTTTCAGCTTCAGCAACTCTAGTTTCGTATTCTGGATTCGGTGACATAGTCAAAACAAGCTTGTGGTTATTTTTTAATAAATATTTTTCAACTAATGATACTAAATATTTAGGATCTTTTTCAATAGTTTCCCTGAAAGTTTTTATAGCTTCATTTACTTTTAATGAGTCAATGATGTCACCATCGTGATTCCATAAAGGAGATACATTGAAAAGTAAATTAAGACCAAAATTAGATGATTGATGCTTCATGTGAAGTTCAATACCGTGAAGAATTGTTTCAATGTGATCTTTGCTAAATCCCTCTTCTATAACTTTTTCTACAGTTTTATTATAGATTTCTTCAACAGTTTTAAAATCTTTTTCTTGAACACCTTGTAAACTTACAATAAATATTGTATCTTTGCACTGAGATTCATACCCAGTCATAGGGCCAAAACCTGTACCAATGTTAGTATCCACTAAACTTTTGTAGAAAGCAGAGTTTGGACCATCCAATAATAATTGAGATAGAATATAAATATTGAAACATTCTTGAATATCATTAATTTCATTACAAAGGCTAGCAATGGCGATTGAATTTTGCCTAGAAGAATCTGCGATTAAAGGATCAGGCCTACATTCAATATGTTTTCTCCTTGGGGCATCCCACCGTTTTTCTGATGGTACTATTGTTTCTGAAGTATCTTTTTTATCGTATGATGCCAAATATTTATTATTAACAAACTTCAAGTGATCTTTTAAAGGAAAGTTACCATAAGAGAAAAATCTTGAATTTGAAGGATGGTAATGAGTAGAATGAAAGTCTACTAAGTCTTGATGTTTAAGCAAAGGAATTTCAGCAGGATCTCCACCTGATATTACACCATAGGTATGGCTAGGAAGAATAGAATTCAATAACTGAGTTGCAAAAATATTCTGGTTGCTATTAAAAACTCCTTTCATTTCATTGAATACAACACCTTTGAATATTATGGGCGAATTTTTGTCATTTGGATCTGTATGTTCTAACCTCCAGCCTTCTTGAGCAAAATCTAATTCACGTAACTTAGGCTTGAAAACACTGTCCATATACACTGATTGTAAATTTTGATAATCTTGAAAATTTTGTGTAGAAAATGGATACATAGTATAATCGGGTGCTGTCATAGCATTCATAAAGGTGGCTAGAGATCTGCGAAGCATTTTAAAGAAAGGTTCTTTGCAAGGATATGTTTCACTACCACATAAACTTAAATGTTCCAATATATGAGGTAATCCTGTAGAATCTTTTGGAGTTGTTCGAAAGTTAATTGAAAACACGTTGTTGCTATCATCACGATCCAGGTGAAGGTACTGAGCTCCAGTATTCAAATGAGTGAGTTTGACAGCAGTGAGAAACATCTCCTTGACAGGTGTAATTTCATCAATGATAAATCCTTCAATGACTTGTCCTTCTTTGTACTGAGTAGCAGCATTGCTAGCCACTGAAGCATCTTTGTTTAAAGTATGTAAACTCAACGATGTGACGGCATGAAATTTAGTTTTGTTCATTAAACCCAGGCTTTTTAGCCAAGATTTTCTGGTAATTACTGGGTGTCGAAACATGGTAAATAATCTGGTATTCCTGTAAAGATACAAACTTTGCAGTAATACTCGAACGCGCTTTGAAACGCATTAAAAATTTATCATGTAAGTACTTAAATTTTACACTAGCAATTCAAATTGTTCATAAAAGTACTCAGACGATTGTAATCAATGGATCAATAGATAAAATAAAATTCACACATTTTATAAACAATTATTGATAAAAGCTTAAATGTATATTATGTTTACCTGATAATGAGACACTATTTTTGATAAGAAAATTGTACAGTTTTTCAAAATTTCGATTCAAATTTAAATTAAGAACTAAGAAAAATCTAAACGTGATGCAGAATCTTGTTGATCAAACACCGCACACGCGACACACGTTAAATTTCATCATGTTATTCTGCATTGGTTATCTCTGTTTCACACGGAGGTTGCGGTGCGCAGGTTGCGCATTCAAAACATTCTCTTACCAACAGTCGGCGCGTTTCATGAAATTCTCGTATTCATTAAAAAAATATTTTTTTCTGTAGTTAAGTAAAAAGTTATTATTAAATAACTATTTTTTTGTTTTATAAACGCGTCTTTTTTATCAAATAAATAATAAATTTTAGCAATTTTGGTTTCCTTTTAAAATTAAAGAGGAAAATGACAGCAATAAAAATAGATAAGAGAAAATTTCTTCGATTTATTTATACCTGTTTGAACAACCTGCCCTGCTTTATACTGCTTCGATTGAAAAGCTCGAAAAAATCTGCGCGCTTCGTGCGGTTTATAATCGGCAGTGCGATGCCAAAAGCAGCAGAGAAAAACAAATCTGACGGTCGCCGAACCACGAAATTTCAAGATCTCATGTTTCAATCTCATTATCTTATTTTCATCTACTGTTAGCCAAGCTAATTGTGCTTAAGATACTTCAGATGTATTTTGAGGGATCGGCATGTAACAGAAACATTTCAAGTGAGAATTTTATCAATGAATTTGATAAAGAATTTGAAACTCTTTCAAATGGTCACAAAGATACACGCGTTAATACAAATAATATAATGAATGTGTCATATGTCAGGTTATGTGCGATTAAATAAATACGTGTATAAATATCAAAGCTAATATCATTAGTATAGCTGAAAAGGGATATTAAACTTTATCGATCTAAAACAACTTGACAAAAGTTAGACAACCTGGTCAACTGGACAATTGGAAGCTGAAAGGATACATCTCATAACGGGAAAAGATGATTTGTGTAAACTCTCCAAGGTTTGTTTCAAAAATTTCATTATTTATCAAGTGAACAAACTTTAAGAGAATACGTTTTACTATTTACTTATCATAAGAATAATACGTTTTACTGTTGAATTGTATATTTACGATCTAGAGAAAAATAGATCAAGCCTTATTATGTAGTTTAATCCATAGTTAAAAGTAAAATTTTGTACTAAACTTATCAATGACAAAATGCTGTTATTTGACGACTCATTTATAAATTTAAATAATATGTAACATTAAATACATCAAGTTATTTGATCAGTTATATCGTTTTTATTAAAACGTTATGCTAAGGATGTTAGTGAAACATTATTAAAAACCAAATATCAGAGTAAAATTTTATATCAATTACTTGATTACAGGTCAAACCAATCACTGTTGTTGTTGTTGCTGCTGCTGCGGAGAGCTTACTTCCTGTTGTATTATTCGGCTGATGGTTCAGTACTTGACTAAAACCAAACAATTGATCTGAGACTACTTGACATTCAGTGAATGATAGATATTCTTAAAGGAGTTGTTGTGTTATGGAACTGCAGGATCTTGCACTTCTCTTACTTAAAAGTTAGAAAAATAATATACTTTAAAACATAAAATTACAATTTTTCTCATTATTTTCTTGATACTATATTATTATTATAAATTTTCAGATGTATTAAGAACTGCTGATCCAAAGCCAGCTTTCCCAGATGCTGATGCTGAATCTTTAGTAGACTCCATGCCACAAAAACAAGCGATGTAACATCAAGATGTTCTTGCTGCTAATAATAAGATTTTCAAAGTTCAAGGAAAGGGGCTCTTGATTAATGCGCCAAAAAAGTTGTTAAAGTTTTGGTTGTTGGAAGTACAGCAAATAACAACAATATAGTACTTCTTTGCAGTACAGGTAATTAATTTTAACAATAGACAAATTTGAATTTATAAAATTATGTTAATTGATCTATTTTTCGAAGGTACTATGGGGTTGATAATCCCGGAATAAGTTCTTCAACAGACATAAACGGTGAAACAGAGATGGATAGTACTGGATCATCTTCTAGTGTACAATGGGTACATTGTTTAAGTTAAAAAACAATCATAATATGCATGTAATAATGCAGATTTGTGTGAGTATGTATAGAGATAATGTGTGATATGTGCCTAGATAATATAAACGATTGATGCATATAAAGCGATTATTATATCACAAATAATTTAAGAATCATTATTTAAAAATATAAGTAAAAATGATACTTGAGTAAAATATCCCTTATAAAAATTTCCAATAGGATCCCGCGAAATTCCTATTGGAATCCTATAGGACTCCTGTAGGAATTTCGCGAGATCCTATAGGAAATTTTTATAAGGGATAATATTACTCAAAAAACAATTTTCATTTGCAGCAAGTTAAATTCTTGTAGAAACAAAAATGTAAAATATTATTATATATTTATAAAAATAAAAAAGATTTAACTAAATTCTTTCTAGTTTTCTAATGCTGATTACCCTGAAATTGTGATCCTTGAATTGTGTACTTTTTAAAAGTAAATGTTGAACTGCTAGATAAATTGATAATTAAATGATCATAAAATCATACAATTTTCACAAGCTCATAATGCACCCTTTGGAAGGTTCTTTTTCAATGATCAAAATGTCATAAATCAAACTACTTAAAGATCAGGCTTTCATTGCATCACTAAGTAAACTAAGACGCTTTTTATAACGTAGAGAATGATTGGAAATATTAACAGGTGAAGTAAGTCACGTTTTTTTAAGATAACTGCTGAATATTTTTTTGGTAAACTGCTTTGAGTCAATAAAAATTAAGGAAAGTCAGAAAGAATTTTTTAACAAGAATATCAATCTGATCTGAATCTGAAGTATCAGTGCTCAAGTTGTTTTTGATTTACAGTAAATTTAAAAACACCCCAAAAAATAACAATATGAAATTATATTAAAGTAACATCAATGAACTACATTATTAATTCATGCAATATCAAATATTTTTATATTTATTTTTTGGGAATGACAAAACTGACTCATCGAATAACAACAAATAATTATGATTCTTTAAATAGATAATTTTAATAATTTTATGTACATTATTTACACTACTTATTATTTAGTGGTAATTTACAGGTCTGCAATACTCCACTTGTAATCTTCTTTTTTAACTGCTTTCTTCATGTTCAATTTATCAGACAAAAAATTTTTTATAAATTATCTGTAACGAAAGTATGATTCATT